ATTAACCTCGGCGCGCATGCGCAGCGAGGGTTACGGTAGTTGGGTTGTCTGTCTGTCTGTGTGTCGTGTGTCTGTCTGTTACTCGTCATCTCACTTCTCGAGTGTTCGTTCGTCTCACAAAGGATACCACCTACTGAACGGGCAATGAAGGTCAGAAAATATGTGGGGTTTTCTCTGAAACTGCTCCGTTGCAGAGCTAGAGCGCGAAAAAGCTAATATGCAAATAGACAACGGACGGGACGGCTTACCACGGTCTGATCGATCCGCGTGCTCTGCGTACCTCAGAGGCACCAGAAGATGCAACGCAGGGCGTGTATCGCCTCTCGCATGCTATCTAGTAGTGTAGTTAGCCCGCGTCAGACTCTGCGCGAGCTGGGAAGAGACCACGAGTAACAGCTAAAACTAAACCCAGCCCATCAATTAGTGGTACGGCGCATGCGTTTACTTACGCGTGCGCGTCACAATGCGCCGAGGGTTTGCACTTCAGTGCTTTTCATTTTATAGGTAATAGGTGTAGTCAACACGCTATAGACATGTACATGTCTGTGTTGTGTTGTAGATTCGAATCCCTAAAAGCTAAGTTGCCGTGGTAGCTCAGTTGGTAGAGCACTCGCCTAGACTGCAGAGTGTCGTGGGTTCGAAACCCACCCAGGGCAGCTCTTCTTGTTTTCTTTGAAAAGAAAGAGCTGTCCTGGGTGTAGTGGACTTGTTTGCCTTGCCTTGCCTTGCCTTTCTACCTCGTTACCAAGTTGTTGAGACATGAATGTTACAAGGGCTGTTGGAGAGAACAAAGGAAGGTTGGAAATGTGATACCATAATAATATACCCCATGTAGTGCACCATCTGGCACGTATGAAGCCATAGGGTTCATACAAATTGCTCTGGTGTAGCTTTAGCATCAAACATTATAGCATAATGATGAGTAGCTTCATCCTACGTACTTACAGATGCAGTCAGGTAGCCCCTGAGTTGGCTGTAATTATTAAAGGGATTGGCTGTTGGATTGAGAAGTTCTGTCTTGCTGAGTAGCATGAGTCCAAATGTCCTCTCAAAGTTGCTGGCAGGAATTGCGAGACACCCTGTCTCATTTCTGCTGTTCAACTCAAGGGAGGAGACAGGTACTGCATGCGTCTGCCAATCTGGTGAACTCCTCTGTGCATCTAGATGAGGAAGATCACACATAAATATCGCATATATTATATTATACTCTGTGGTAAAGCTCTGAGACAAAGGTTGAACAATGTCTTATACTTATTCCTGTAACCAAACCCGCAGAGAAAAATAGCTATTCTGTAGCTAGCTACCTGAGAATGCCGCAAGCTCCTAATGCTGGTCCACTCAGACCAGCACAATTCAGTGCTCTACAGTCAAATGCTGCATCAACAGAGCCCTGTTGGCAGGATGGAGTGGTCGTGTCACTAGGCTCTGTATCAAGGTCTATTGCACTCAGAGCGTAGGGATAGAATGGTTTCAGGTCCCTGCGTATCTTCCTCTGGACGTCGGCAGTCCATGCTTCTTGCAGACAGAAAATGTCAACATCGCTCTGGATCATCTGTAGCGTGCGACATAAAAAAGATTTCATGCTGTGTATATGTGTAGCTATAAGAGACAGTGCTCAACCTGGTCGATCATAACAGAAAGTCTAGCATCCACATTTCTGATGGAGCCGAACAGTAGCCCTGTGTTGTAGGTGGCTAGCGTCGTGTATCGCGTACTCCCCGACGCAGTGGCATCTTGCTGCACTACAACTCCAAGAAGAAACGTCAAGGAAAGAGCCTTCAAGAAAACCATTGCTGATCTATTTCTAGTTTCGTTCGCCGACTGCGCAGCGTTAATTGTGTCGCGTCGTCACGAGACTAGATGACAAAATTTCCATCGAGGTAGCTACATGACAGTAAAAAAAATCTGTGAAAGTAGGTCCCTCGGCGCGCATGCGCAGCGAGGGTTAATGTAAATCGTTTGTCAGTCTGTCTGTCTCTTACCCATGTTATCTGCCACCACGCGCAACGAGACAACAAAATTGTGGTACCAAAAGGTTTAGCGCTACACTGGCTTCATTTTAAATTTGGCTATTTCCGTATAAGTGCTTTGCGTTCGAGAGTTATGGCGTGAAAACCAAGTGGAGAAGCCTATTGCTAATTCACCCTCGGTGCGCATGCGCAGCGATGGTTCTCTTTTTCTGTCAGTCGCAAGGTTCGTCATGGCTCCGTCCTTTCACCCACATTCTTCCTGCTGGTTATGGACCCAATTCTCCCGGAGCTGAGTAAGAGATCCTGTGGCCCTTCTGTCTGTGGTCTCTTTCTTGGGGCTTTCTCCCATGCAGACAATATTCGAGCACTCTCCACACCAACATTTCCAAAGGCAAGCTACAGATGGCGCTCGTCAGTAAGTATGCCTCCTCTCAAGGCCTGACTCTGCATGTCGATAAATGTGAAGCTTCCATCTCTCCTTCTCTTCCAGCACATCGGCACAGGAGATTCCTTTTTCCTATGGTTCACTGATTTGGAGGCCACATCTCATCAAGGATATTATAATGTTGGAATGAATCCAGCGACGTGCTACAAAGTATTCTGAACGACTGTAAGTCAGATTACAAGCATTGCGTACTGTCACTTAGATAGACTTCTGCCTCTCGTTATGCAACTTGAGCTGTATGACATCTCGTTATGCAACTTGAGCTGTATGACATTATGTTCTTCATTCGTTGCCTCCCTCAAGACCCCTGATTCCTCTAATACCTTTCCCTGCAGTCTTACGTACATTTCTCAGAAGTCAATACCCGGTCTTCAGCTCACCTGAAGCTGATGCATTCCCTCTGTAAATCCAACGTTACACGTCACTTGTATTTAAGCAGACTTCAGCGGCTCTGGAACTCTCTCCCACCTATTATATAACTTTGATCATTCTATTCTTACCATTCGGAATCAAATTCTTGAAGTATTATGGTCACATTTTGAATCTCATTTTCTGGGTACAAATCCATGCACATTTCACTGTTATTTGCCCATGTTCTGTGTGTGTTTGCTCATCAATCTACCACCTAGGTCATCAACACTTTTTTGGTGTTCCGTCAGTATATACATGTCACACAGTCTGTATGCCTGTCCTTTTTGTTTGTTTTTGTCCTTTTGTCCTGAAGCTAAAAAAAACCGTGCTTCATTGCTATAGTCTCTAACGTACTGCATGCCAGACAGCATTGTGATTGGGACATGGGTTGGTTTTGGTGCCTGACCATGCCTTCCCCAACTACCAGGGGATTCCCCCCTTCTGACACACCCCTTACTTGCTGCCCACTGCACCGATCCTCCATCAAGCATGGTACCCAGTCATGCTAACTGATCAACTCTGTTAACAGAGACCAACACGTTATCCAGCCCCCCTCTCTTGCTGTTCTCTGTTTACATGTATGCCAAGCCTGATACACATGCACGTGCGCTTGCACCCCTGCCCCTTTTGTCCGCAATTCACCTGTTAAACCGGTTTTAATAGTGTTTGCATTGCAGTTGCACAAACAGCTCTTCAACTTAGCACGAAATTATAGTTCATAGCATACCAGCCATAGGTATAATTATAATAGATAGATAGATAGATAGAGAAATATATAAATAAAAACCACATCTAATAATCCACAAATCCCGAAACATCCATAAAAAAACACATACACAAATACGCATGACATGACATGAGAGCAGGACCCAGCCTTGAGAAATGGGGCGGTGGGTTAAAGAGCCTTTTATGGCTAGCCAACTCTCCCCACACACCCAGTATCCAAACTCCACATCACAAACAATGACAGCCACACAGGGAGTAACTGTACGATATATAGCACAGTCACGACAACACATGTAGAGTATGGTACATATAAATATATAAAAAAGTGTGGAATATAGGGATGCCATAAAAAGCAAGGAGACAAGACAGGGATGACCAGGGCATGTGATGCAGAGTACAATGGGATGATTGTTAGCTACATCTTCAAACTGACATTTCTTGCTCATGTAAATTTTACCCCACACAAGCCCTATATTGTCGCCACTCTTACTCATGACATGAGTTTTGAATAATGTAGTGTGAAGACTGGCAAACGAATTCTATAGGGAAAGCAGCATTGTCAAACCAGTTAGTTGAGCAAACATTGAAGTAAACACAGTCACGATTCAATTTGAGGACCTGTCAGAGAGGGCATTTGCTACCAGTCTTACATGCATAGGAAACGAGTCATAGCTGCACATCATACGATAGAGATCACTAGTGCTTTGCGACAATATAGGGCTTTTGTGGGGTAACATTTACATGAGCAAGAAATGTCAGTTTGAAGATGTAACAATCATCCCATTGTACTCTGCATCACATGCCCTGGTCATCCCTATCTTGTCTCCTTGCTTTTTATGGCATCCCTATATTCCACACTTTTTTAATTCGTAGAATATTTTATTTACTTGTCTCCTTTCCTTTTTTTACGGCATGCACATGCATTGGGGCATAATGTCCATATAAAAAGTAACATGTATTTATTGCCTCGGACTGTAAGTCGTCATCTACATTTTTATTTCACTTCCAAAGTATATAAGTGTACAAAGTTATAGGAAAAACAGCACTTAATTGCCTGAGGCTATTTGTTGTTGTTTACAAACTTGTAATTCATGTTTCAATGAACTTTTATCATAGTAAATCAGTGTACCAAGTTTCATTGTTAGAGGACCCACCATAAGCAAGTTGTAGGCACAAACATCATTTACAAGTATTCATTGCCTGAGGCTGTTTGTTGTTGTTTACTAACTTGTAATTCCTGTTTCGATGAACTCTTATCATGGAACATGCAATGTACCAATTTTCATTGTTAGAGGTCCCACCATAAGCAAGTTATAGGCAATAATATAGTTTACAAGTTTTTATTGCCTGAGGCTGTTTGTTGTTGTTTACAAACTTGTAATTTCTGTTTCGATGAAATTTAATCATGGAATATCAGTGTACCAATTTTCATTGTTAGAGGTCCCACCATAAGTAAGTTATAGGCAGTAATATAGTTTACAAGGTTTTATTGCCTGAGGCTGTTTGTTGTTGTTTACAAACTTGATTTTGATACTAGTGATGGTTTGTATATGTGTACAAAGTTTTATCACTCTGGGTATTAGCTTTACCCACCAGTTAGCACACTCTATTTGTCTCTATAATAATGTAATGCCTGGGGCTATTTGTTGTTGTTTACATGTAAACAAAATTGTTTACGAAAAAATAAAGATGCTCTTGCACGACCTGTCATGGATTCCAATCTTTGTGCAAAGTTTGATCTCCATATCTTAACTGGTTTTTGAGATACGCTTGTTGAAACTGAACAACGACAACAACAACAACAACAACAAGAAGAAGAAAATTGTGACGATACAAGTCTGATGTGTCAAAAGTTGGATCTGATTGAAATATAAAGTGAAACCCGAAAATCTCAAATGTATGGGCATAATGCAGGACAACCTGTGTCTTCCCTATATACTAAGTACTAGAACCGTACTTAGTGATAATAGATGGTAGAAAAATGAACATGGTAGAAAAATTGAATTCAATCTAGCTTACTTACTGGAGTGGTAAAAACAAGGTAGAATGACTCACTTGTAGCAGTAAAATCATGGTAGAAAAATATAGAATGACTTTCTTGTAGCGGTAAAAACGTGGTAGAAGAATAGAATCTTGAATAAAACGACTTACTTACATATACAAGTGTAGTGGTCGATCAAACACACATCACTAAAGTCTGGAAGGAAGCCCACGACACATTGTTGCCTAGGTAAAGTATATGCCCTGGGAGTTCGCGCTACGAGTGCAACCATACTCAGTGATGTCTACGCACAAATTGAAACTTGCATTCCACTTCTATTATAAACAAGTATATAGTCAACTGCTGCCCTCTTTGAATCGGCAAAAAATTGAAAAAGCAATTTACAACAACACCCAGGGCATATACTTCACCTAGGCGCTGTAGTCTAAGATCGTTAGATGCGTTGCCTTGGGAACTTCGCGATTTAGTGAGCCTCGGGGCCCTGGTCGTAGCGCCCTCGCTACGCTCGGGACGCCGACAGCCCAGGGCCCTCGGCTCACTAAATCGCGTAGTTCCCGCGGCTCCGCATCTAACCTATACGTATGATTATGCCGCAACACTACCTCAGCTATCCCGCCAGCTAGCTAGCTAGATTTAGCAGTGAGTGTTAGAACAGAAGTTACTAGAATGGAAGTTTCTACAATGGAAGTTTTGAAGTTTATATGGTATATGTGGCCCTAAAAAGCCACCGTAGTCAACAGTCCGACTGAGGCTGCTCGTGCGCGCGCTCTACTGACTGCGCGCACGGCGCGGAAGCTATACTTCCTACGAATGACGGAAGTTTACATTCCTAAGCGCGACTAATTAACATTCTTAAAACGAAACTAATTTACATTCCTAAATCGTGACTAACTGACATTTTTTGCGTGAAGGACACGTACGTACGCGGGAATACAACCCGGAGTAGTTTCCTCACGCTAACGCGCTCGGCGAGACAGATGGAGTGAAGTCCTCTGAGCGGATATCCTTCCGAGCCATTGTTGTGAAGGTCTGGCCTAAGAGACTGGATATCAAAGGTGAAGTGAAAGCTCTACGAAAGTGCTGCCAAACCAAATGGGCGTTCTACGCCTCAGTACTCACATTTGATTGCGCTCGGTATATATCATTTTACAGACTTTGTGCTATTAGCTATACTCTTAGTAGAATAAGGACTTTCATCAGTTTTTCTCTAGTTATATACTGTAAGGTGCGTTCCACACTGTTAACCGTACGCCGTGCTTTATATAAAGCACACTGGGAGGGGTTTTTACTTGTAGCACTTATGATGGCTTATAAACGAGCCATTCTCACACAATTAGTTGAATATTGGTTTTTTCTTTTTAGATGCTGATCCACAGTGGACTAATCTTTTACAAAAGACACAGGTCTATGAGCAAAAATGATCTTAGCAAAAGAAAGATTTTGCAGATTCTTGTTGTCTGTGCATATGTCCTAACACAAGTATACCTAAAGCAAATTCCGGAAAACAATTGTTTATTCCTATGGCAAGAATTTAAGAATGAGTTTGGTATTAAACTTTTGCTCCTGGATGCTCAGTTTGAAAAGAATCGAAATGACTGGAACAAGAAAACTGACAAGTATTCCTGGACATGCCATTTTGTTGCTGCAATTATTGTTGAAATGCTACTGATCATGTCAGGGGATGTAGAGTTGAATCCAGGACCACTTCAAGGTAAAACACTTTGGAATGGACTGTAGTTGTGGGAGTGAGTGAAACCCATACAGCGCCACTTTCGAGCTACTGTTGCTATGTCTGAAAATTTGACAGTCTTTGTAATGTAAACTTGTGCAAGTCTGATCGCTCTTAACCAAAGTGAAAGTTGCTGGCCCATGTACATAGCTCTATGCCTTTTACAATCTCTTCTCGTTTTCACCAATCATGTTAGCTTTATACTTGCTCGCATGCGTATACGCAACAGGGGAAATGTGATTGGTTTTGGTGTATTATGTGTATCTGGTCGAAATTATTAATGACACCTTAAAGGCCAAATGTGCACTTATAACTTGGATAGCAGAACTCTTCTTTAATTTATTAAATATCTACAACTAACCATTATCTCAGATTTGCCAGGAAAAATACTTGAGGCTAAATTAAGGTCGGACACACCTCCTTTTAGTTGTACACCTACCAGCATGGGTATGCGTACGCTCCCGCAGGGTATACAAGTTTCATATTATTTTGATGTAGGTGATTTGGTATTGGAGGATCTGCAAGAAGTCTTTGATATTGTTCATGATGTCCAAAGCAAGTGGTACAGCATCGGTGTTGAGCTGCGAATAGAAACAAGTGTTCTCGATGCAATCAAGGTTGAGTTCAATGGCGTTCCAGAGGAGTGCCTTTTCCAGATGCTAAGACACTGGTTGAAGCAGTTACCATTGCCAACAATGAGGGAGATGATACAGGCTCTTGGCAGTGAGCCTATTGGGGAGAAACATCTGTCCCTTTCCCTTAGACGAAAGGTGTATGGAGAGCAATACCCCACAAAAGGTAAACAGGTAAATTTAAAAGTGTGGAATAGAGGGTTAGCTACCATAAAAAGACAAGACAAGGATGACGTAGTGCATGTTAGGCAGTAATGCAATGGATGACGGTTACATCGTCAAACTGAGACATTGTTTGCTAATCTTCCTCCACACAACCCCTATGTTGTCGCCACTCTTGTTGAGTCTCGTAGGCAACGATGTAAAGTGGGAGGACAATGGTGAAGGACTCTATAGAATGTTATTGTAAAACTGGTTAGGATGTCTTAGACTACGAAATGCAGTCACAAATCCAAAACTGAGGATCTGTCAGAGAAGTCATTAGCCACCTGTCTCACATGCTTAAGAAACAAGTCATAGCTGTACTAACAGAGATCACTCGTGTTTTACGACAATATAGGTGATACAGGTATTGAACTGCAACGTTGGCCTGTCGATCTTATTTTATGGGTAAAAATCTTCGTGTCATATGTGCATATACACTGCATGTACACGCTCTTGTGTGTTTTGGGTATTAAAAGATCTTGCACTGGTGTTAATTTACAGGTTTAGCTGTGATATGTTCTCTTCTCCATTGCTTGCAGGAAGACTGACAATAACTGACTTGGCTGATGTCCGCAGTGTGCTGTTTTCAATCAGGCACAGGTGGTATATGTTAGGCAGCTTTCTCAAAATCAGTAGCGGAACCCTCGACAGTATAAAGTCTCAGTGTAAGAATGATCCCAGTGATTGTCTTCTGGAGATGATTAAGACTTGGCTCAGCCAAAATGAGCCTCTTCCAACGTGGGAGAATCTAGTTCATGTGTTGAGCAGTGCAAGTATTTGTGAGTCAGAATTAGCGGCAAAGATATGTACCAAATATTGTTCTGAGGTGCTCAAACAACTTTCTCCTGGTAAGTACACCGAGTACTATTCATGGCTTACATAACCTACGTGCTTGGAATTACTGGCCACATGCTCACATATGTAGCTAAACAAACACAACATGTACACCATGCATCTGTAACCCATGCTGCACTGAAACTTAATGGCGATTTTATTCATATTTCTATAGTTGAAACCAACTACCCAAGTGCTGCTGACATCATTACCAGGTATTCCTCATACCTTAAGCAAATGTATCGTCGCTTCCGACTCCCTCTAGACAGTCAGTGGCCCCCAGTGCGATCTGAAAGCTTTGTTCCCATATCTCTGAGTGTTATAAGGGGTGATGGCCCTAAGGAATATCTAAAGTTGGGTGATATTTTTAGTGGGAACGAGCAACGCCCAGTTAGCACTGTCCTTATTGAGGGTGCACCGGGTATAGGGAAGACGGCCACGTCTTTGACAATTTGTAAAGACTGGACATCAGGTGAGCATTTCAAGACTTTTGACATCCTTCTGTTTTGGTCAATGAAAGATCCAACCCTGCACAGCTTGAAAGGTCTCGATGACCTTTTTTTCCACGACAGTGAAGATGTTTCGCATTCAGTAGCAAGTGCAGTAAGGAGAGAGAGTGGGAAGGGTGTTCTCTTTGTTTTCGACGGTTGGGACGAGCTTCCGCCTAAGGTTTCTCACGATAGAAATTTCTGTCTTTTTGATGTTATCAAGGGCAAAAGGTTCCCGTTTGCTTCAGTTGTCATTACATCCAGACCAATAGAGTCTCAACACTTGCTTCAAACCAGCATGTTTGATCGGCACGTAGAAATATGTGGCTTTTCCTCTGAGGGCATAGTCCAGTATATAGAGCGCTGCTTTGTGTGCACCCCAGACAAGGCAGCCAAGCTAGTGAACTCAGTCACAGAACGACCTGATATCGAGTCCATATGCTATGTTCCGATGAACTGTGCGATTGTCTCGTATGTCTACTCACAACTGAATAAGCTCCCCACAACGTTTACTCAGTTTTATTCGTATCTAACACTGAACGGGCTTCTGAGAAATATTCAGTTGCGTGGAAGCGACGAAGAAATGCAAATAACACAGCTCCAAGGCATAAATGATCTTCCATTTAATGTAAGAAGGTTATACATGGCTCTGTGCGAACTTGCTTTCAGGGGCCTGATATCCGGTATTCATTCTTTTCCTCGGGACAAAATTGTCGCCGTGTGTCAGTCGACTCCAAAAATCATCGCTAATGTTGATAATCTTGGAATTCTTCAGGCGGTAAATGTTTTTCATGTGACAGGAGTGGATTCCTCTTTTCACTTCCTGCATTCTACAGTGCAAGAGTTTATGGCAGCTAGGTATCTAGCAAGTCTTGGCAAGAAAGAACAAACGTATTATGTCAGGAACTATCTCGACTACATGTCATTCGAAATGGTTTGGCAGTTCTATTGTGGGATCTCAGCTGAAGAAAAGTCTCTCTTTGATTCCGAAATCATTAAAACCTTTCAAAGAAGAATGAAGGAGCTTAGCTGGTTAGATGAAGAAGAAACTGCATTTGAAAATTCAGCTAGTAGTAAGCATTGTGTCGAGGAACTTGTCTTAAAGCCTTCAGACACTGAATCTGCACGACCAGAAATCTCTGATGAAGAGAGGGTAGTTCATGGAAAGCCTCCACTGCCACCATCTCTCTCCTTAATGCCACCCTCTACTGCCCTCGATAGTGCTCCATCCACTACATTGTCAATTTCTTCATCTGTATCAACAAGTATCGGCGACGTTGTAGGTAGTACTGGGCCTCAGGATTTAGGCTCTCTTTCGGGCATTTCACGTACATTGACAGGTGTTACTGCAGAGTTAGCATATGTTGTACCGTCCGAAAACGTTGACACTAGGCGCTTGTTAGTAATTTTGAAGTGCATTTATGAAAGTCAGGAGCCGACTTTATGTCAACGCATAGCAAGGTCGTGCCAGAACCAGCTTAATTTTCATATTTCACTAAGTGCAGTGGACACTAATGCCATAGGGTATTTAATAGGGAAAGGTAGCCAACAGTGGAAAGTGTCGTTTGTTGGCTGTGGATTGGGTGTGAACGAAATGAAAACCTTAAAGCATCAGATTACTTTCCATGGAAAAATTGGAAGAATCCAAGCACTGACTCTCTCTGACAATCCATTGGATGTTACTGCGATTCAGCAGTTTATGGATATGCGCCAAGCTTTCAAAAACCTGCAGTTGCTGTCTCTTAAATCCACCCAGCTGAATGATGAGAGTATCAAACTCTTATCACCCTCTCTACAAAGTTTTCATTCTCTGAAGTCTTTAAACCTTGCTGACAATGAGATATCTAGTGAAGGAATGGCGGCATTATCAACAGCCTTGTTCAAATGTGCTAATCTTAGTGAATTGAATCTCTCTAACAATATCTTATCAGAGGTAGCAATGAAGCATCTAGCTTTTGTTATTTCATCTGGTTGTGAGTTTTCAGAGCTGGTTCTGCGGGGAAATTCAATAGGAGATGAGGGAGTGAGAACACTACTCTCTTGCATGGTCGAAGGCTACCCACTGAAACACCTAGATTTGAGCAACAACGACATAACATCCGAGGGAGCTGCATTAGTTGCTTCTGCTCTCTGCAGTTTGCTGGTTCATATTGAGACGTTAGCCTTAGACAGCAACTCAATTGGTACTGAAGGGGCTCACCTTATATTTTCAGCTCTTCGGTGCAACTCGTCAATTCAAAAGTTGGCATTAAGTGCATGTGACATTCATTTCAGTGTTGAACTGGTGGATGCAATGAAACAGTGCTTGCTGCAGGCTAAAGATCTTTGGGAACTTGAGATCGAATGCAATTTCCTTGGCGATGAAGGAATCTCAGCAATTTGTGATGTAGTCCAGAATGAATACTCCAGTATCAAGCACCTCGGGATTGCTAGCAATGAGATTAGTCCAGCAGTGTTGATGCTCTTAGGACCAGTACTAATAAATTCTAAACTGGAACTACTCTCAATTACATCGAGTGAGTTGAGTACGGATACAGAAGATTTCGAAATTTTTCTTCAGTTTATGCAAAGTAGTAAATGCCTGAGAAGCTTGCATATTTATGAAGTTGGAGGAGAGAAAGAGAAGTTAGAAGTTGCTTTTGAATATTTAAATACAAACAGATTTCAACAAGGTCTGAATGATGTATTTGTCAAATACCATAGTGATTAATCCATAGGTGTTTTTATTACTGTAATTACATTTGTGGTATTAATTTATCATTATCTAGGTGTAGGTTACAAGAGGCATTTTTCTAACAAAGTAGATGTTGGGCATGAGTTCTTTCTTAACTGAAGCAAACTTCGTTAAAGTTTGGCTCAAAGCGGGACAGATCTTTGATCTCAGAAGCACAGTTATAGTGACATTGCTGAAGAGCACTGCATTCTTCGTTCCTGATGTTGTACAATCGGACCTTGACCCCGTAGTGATCCGAGAGTGGTGTTCCAATGGACGGTAACACGGCATCAAAGAACCGCTGTAATAGGGAAAGAGGAATTTTGAAATTACACTGAAACCTATGTGTTGGAGTGCACACATCAGTAACAGCAGCAAGATTGTGGGATGTAAAGCGCGAACACATTACACAGGTTTTTGACGGCCTTAAAGTGCTATCATGTTCATGTGAAAGCATGAGCTGTTTAGTTTATGCAGCCCTTACCTCTTTGGATGCCACGAGTATCTGCTGTATAAAGCATTAGTGCCTATAGTATTATAACCCCATGTAAGACTTATGGAGGCTCTGAATACACAAATGTGTTTGTGGATGGTTAGGTGTTATTTTATAGCAAGTAGGAGAAACTGAGACTCACTCTTGCAAATATCACTCTCTTAGTGGTGTCCGTTGTGATGTAAATATGGTCGATAATTGTGTCTGGAAAGAGACCACCAGTAAGAGGGTTGTCAATGCAGAAGGTGCAGCGACCATCTGTTAGGACATAGGGAGTGACGAAGCCACGGGCATTCATGAGACCATAGTAGAACGGGAATTCTGCCACCACACCATCTGCAGGGAAGTAGGTATAAATCCTGAAGGTGTGATACTAACAATGCAACATGTAAGAAACTCATGTGCAGTTGTGTCAAAACTATATTCGTAATTAGAACAATAGTAGCTATGCTTGTCCACGTTAGGGCATCTTGGACTTTTACTGCATACCTGTTCTAGCTGGGCCATGGTTGAAATCTCCAAGAAGAATGGGGGTCTGCATTCCAGATTTCTTAATCACATCAAAAAGTGTCATCAACTCATTGCTATGTTGCTCGGCATAAGAGGAGTAGAGAAATGGAACAACAACTGGAGGGCCAACTGGAGAAAGGAAATATGATGGCTGTTTAGGGCCATCCATTTCCATCTAACTTTCTGCCATTTCCATTCAACTTCCATTTCCATTTCCTCATTATAGACTTCCATTTCCATTCTGGCCACGTGCTTATGCGCATGCGTTTTGTGTGGTTCGACTGTACTGAACCTTCTCTACGCGTACGAACATAGTTCATAGAACATAGAAGAGGTTCAGTGCAGTTGAACCACCCGGAATTTGTGTAATTTTACTTGTGTGGATTACGTAATGCAAATCGCATCCTCGGTCTCTCCTCCTCGATCCCCCTGGCCTCCTCCTAGCTCGGTGTTCTGACCTAGGTCATCACGTGACTATTTATAATTATCCCGCTACATCCAGCTCTGTCTCCATCGCGAGCTCAGGCACTTCTCAGATTGGTTCGACCGTTTGGAGTTAAAAGTTATTGGACCAACGAAGCTTCTTGCTGCTATAATCGAACGATCTCAATCTGAGAAGTGCGTATCAAGAGCAGCCATGGCTGAGCTCACGATGGAGACAGAGCTGGATGTAGCTAGCAATGGAGCGGGATAATAAATGCTAAACAGTCACGTGATGACCTAGATCAGAACACCGAGCTAGGATGCGATTTGCATTACGTAATCCACGCAAGTAAAATTACACAAATTCCGGGTGGTTCAACTGCACTGAACCTCTTCTATGTTCTATGAACTATGTTCGTACGCGTAGAGAAGGTTCAGTACAGTCGAACCACACAAAACGCATGCGCAGAAACCACGTGACCAGAATGGAAATGGAAGTCTGTAATGGGGAAATGGAAGTGGAATGGAAATGGAAGTTGAATGGAAATGGCAGAAAGTTAGATGGAAATAGATGGCCCTAAACAGCCATCATAAGGAAACATCGGGGTTGGTTAGAGTCTGTTAGCGAATTAGCTGTATGCAGTGGTTGCTCACCATAGAGAGGAGGAGGAACAAGTTGAGAGGATAAATGAGTACATACCAAGTCACCTACACCACCAACCTGGTATAGTGGCATGCTAATTAATTATGTACATGGATCACCATAATATTGCATAACTATGTGCTTGAGAAGAAGGCACCACAAATTGTACATGGCAAAATAATAGTATTATACACCTCCCTCTGTCAGCATACCATAAGACATGCAAATTGAGTGACAGATCAATAGATAACCACAGTAAAGCCATGCAATAATGAAAACTGAAATGCAAACCCTCGGTGCATTACGCGTGTGCGGTACCGCTAATTGATGGACTGGGCTGAGTGTACGTTTACTCGTGGTCTCCGTGCTAGTTGGTCGCGGAGAGTCTGACACGGGCTACTTACAAACCCGTATATCACCTCTCTTTGTTGATGTTGCAAGTCAAAGAGATGCGTTCACTAGCAGCTAGCTTCACAGTCAAAGTCTCACCACATTAATGATAGTTGTTTCATCTGGTGCATGGGAACCATCAGACACCGGTCTTTTCCTACTTTACATTTAGAACAGGATCTGAGAGCAGTCTTTTAAGCGACTAAAGCAGACTGAACAGTAGATGAACCAATGTGCACTGTGTCACGCATCTTATAATGAACCATTTCTTGCTGGTGTATTACACAAAAAATACTGCCCTCCGTAGCTAACTCTCGAGTTTTGTGTTCGGGTATAAATAACAACATTGAACGCACCTCGCTAACCACAAGGAGTTATTGCATAGTGACCCACAGATTGTGTTTCTAGGGAGATGCAAGATCCATCAAGGAATTCTTGGGAATATGAGTCTAATGTCAAACTATGCGTTTCTGTATGGCATCATCTATTGACTTGCTAAAGCTTCATTTCTTGCTGATTACAACATAATTATTGTTCAGATTCCTTTTCTACGTAAATTAACCAGCTCTGGTTTTCCCTTACGTGCATGTACATACACACTGATGAAAAATAGTTAATGGTCTGATTAAAAACCTGCGATACTTACCGACGCTGTCAAATAACCTCTGATTTGACTCTGGTTAGTAAATGGGTTGGCTGTAGAGTTAATGAGTTCCTTCTTGCTGAGTAGCATGAGTCCATAAGTCTTCTCAAAGTTGCTGGCAGGAATTGTAAGACACTCTGTCTCGTTGCTAATGTTCACTTCCAAGAAGAAGCAAATAATACAGGACTCTGGTAGGTTGGCCAACTCCGATAAGCAGCTGTGTAATAATAGTACGTAACATGGTTGTGACATAAACACAAGGGTACCTGCTCAGCATATAGCTACAACAATTTTTAGTACAAGAGACGCATGGCTGCGCGTATGTGATATGGCTTACTATGAATTGGTCAACGTGATAAAGGCCAGGATGCATGTATTCATGGTTGCCAATTTTTCTGCCCTCTCGTTTCACCCGAGTATCGTTTTGGACTTACCCTAACCAGTTGTTTCTACAGTATACCTTCACTCAGCCGGTGAGAAAAGTGGCTCCATCGACCAACTAATCAGTAGCTACATTGAAGCTTAATATGGACTATTTCTACCTTAGAACTCCACATATTCCAAATTCATTCCCAGTCAGCCCCTCACAGCGCTGTGCTCTGCAGTCGAAATATCCATCCAGACCATTCAGAGGACAGGATGGAGTGGTCGTGTCACTAGGCTCTGTATCAAGGTCTATTGCGCTCAGAGCGTAGGGATAGAATGGTTTCAGGTCCCTGCGTATCTTCCTCTGGACGTCGGTAGTCCATGCTTCTTGCAGACAGAAAATGTCAACGTTACTCTGAGCAATCTGCAACAGTGCATTATCCAAGCATGCATTTCTACAGATTTTCACTCTTGCACCAGGCTAACCTGATCGATGAGAACAGAAAGTCTATCATCCACGTTTCCGATGGTGACAGAAAAAAGGCCGGCATTGTAAGTGGCGAGCGTGGTGTGTCCTACAGCAGCGGACGCGGAGGTAGCCCTCTGTACCAGAACACCGACAATAATTGTTACGACAAGATCCGTCAGGAGTACCATGGTTTCTACTACTTCGACCAAAAGACGACCGCAAACCTGTAATTACTGTTCACCCTACATAAATTTCCATCGCTATAGAAGGCGTAAAAGTGTGGCTTGCTTCGCTTCTATGTTTTCTGTCCCCACGTACAAGCCGGCAAGCGAGCGACACAAACAGGTTCAGTACCGGTAAAATGGGCCAATATGTGTGGTCTCAACGCTAGTAGATAATATAGCTCGCGAAGAGTCTGACACGGGCCGGCTAGCTACACTAGTAGATAGCACGCGAGAGTCGTTACACGCCCTTAGTTGTGACTTCTTTAATAGTGTTTGCATTGCAGTTGCAGAAACAGCTCTTCAACTTAGCATAGTATACGAGTGTAGTGGTCAATCAAACACACATCGCTCAAGTGTGGAAGGAAGCCCACGACACAACCCCTATATTGTTGCCTAGGTGAAGTTTATGCCCTGGGAGTTCGCGCTATGAGTGCAACCATACTCAGTGATGACACACATTCAGTTGCAATTGAAACTTGCATTCCACTTCTATATACACAAGTAGTCAACTGGAAGTGTTGCTGCCTCTTTGAATCGCAAAAAGCAACAACTTTTATAGATGATACACCAGGAAACAATATAGGGATTGTGTCGTGGCCCACGCAATATATAAGGGCGAATCTGCCACGCTTCAGTGTTTTTATCGAGATACCAAACACAGCCACCAAAAACGCAAGGATTAGATTGTAGACCTCGTGGAATAACATTCGAATAATCTCGTCTCTCGAAACGGACGGCAACATCCAAGCACAACTCTGCTCTCTGCTCACGGCAACATCAAGTATGCTCACATGAAGAACTCGTGTCGTTGCGTATATGCATGCGCATAACTCAGATGCGTATAAAGCAGTATGGAAATGGAAGTGGAATGGAAATGGCAGAAAGTTAGATGGAAATGGATGGCCCCAAACAGCCATCATAAGAAGTGTTATAGTGCACAGAATTACCAATGGAGCCACAGGTAATCACACAGGTGTAATAACAACAGCATATTATTATTTTGTTCATTTGTTGTGAGCCTATGCAAAAAAAATTAGGTTAGCTACTAGCTAGGCACATAGCTACACAATCATTGAGTATATACTTCCTTTCTGTATAGTGAATAGACTAGTGTCTAGTGTTTGCATTCCAGTTACTATACACAACTCTTTCAAACTTCAAACTTAGTAGGTAGCTATACATAATGTAGCTGTCAAAACACATATCGCTAAAGTCTGGAAGGGAGGAAGAAAGTTCCTTTATCTCAGAGGATATACAGTGGAACCGACACTTTTGAATGAAGTTGCAGTTTTGACGGATGTAAGACAGGCGGACCTTGACCCCAAAATGGTCCGATAGAGGTATTCCAATGGAGGGAAACACTTTATCTAAAAAATGCTGAAATGGAAAGAAGGCAAAATAGGATACATGGATTTAGTGTGACTAAAATTAAACTTACTTTTGTATAGATCACCCTCTCGGTGGTATCAGTAGTGATATAAATATAGTCAATTACGACTTGGAAAGAGACCACCAGTCAGAGGGTTGTCAGTGCAGAAGGTGCAGCGACCATATTTTAGAACGTATGGACTGACAAAGCCACGGGAATTCATGAGACCATAGTAGAATAGGAATTCTGCCACCACACCATCTAGCAAAAGATAATATACAAGTGGAAAAATCATTTCTTCAAAATGAAGGGATGACTTGAACCACCAAAAAGGAAGAAACAAGGGGTCATTACACAGCAAGTTGCACAAAGCCACATGACACCATCCCTATGTCTTAACGTTGCTTACGAACAATAAAACAAAGATATAGGGATGGTGTCATGTGGCTTTGTGCATATTTGGTGTATATAATATGATGTGTGCTTGAACACCAGTGTGGTTACTGGACATGTTCGAGGCACAATCATAACCCTGTCCTCTAACATACTTAATTCAAGGCTCTTCAAATCACTGCATATCTGCTCCGCTATGCATTTTCCTGTACTAGTACTAGAGAGGAAAAGTGAATGAATTCTTCTCTTATGCAATTGGTTTCATCCACAAACCTAATACATAATGGCATAATTTCTTTATTATGGGAAGTAACTTCATCCGCCATCACTTAAGCTTTTCTGATTTCTTCCAGAATCGACTTCTGGATTATAAATAATATTTGGTGAAATATGTGGCATTACGTTGCCTAGGCTTTTCGTACACAGCTGTGTATACTTCAGAGTCAGTCATTGACTCCTTGCCCTAGATCGTTTAGGATGTCCGTATCAATGTCAAGCTGTCTAACCGCGGTGGGCCTTAGGCTTGCGGGCTTGGCGCAGGTGCTTGTACATGGGACTCTTCAGCTATATCTGAATAGTCACTTGCATGATCACTAGCTACGTCGTCGATGGGGCTGGCAACTCGAAAGTACTGTATTTGATGTCGGCGGTCGGTTCCTTGTGTGTGCCTGCGAGATTCTTTGACCGTTTGGAAGATGCCTCCAAAGAAAACAAAAATCGCTATATACCAAGAAACTTGTTGCCGCCAAGAAACCTGCAGCGTCTGACAAGGACGCGACAGTACTCGTGGCGAGGGTAGCCGCGTAGCAGATTGCGGAACTGAGCTGCGAACAGCCTTTAATAGATGGCAAGGACCAAGCTATCTTTTGTGAGGGTGACTGCAAGCAGTGGTGGTCTCATCGTTTTTGTGTTGGCGTCCCACTCTCCTGGTTCGAAACACTTAATGCGTCGCAGTCCTCGTCGCAGTTCCCCTTCCAGTGTTATTTGTGCTGTCAAGACAAACATGCTGAGGCAATGGAAAGTCTTAAATTGGAAGTCACGACGTTGCAATCAGAGGTGTGCGAGATGAAAGCTGCCATTGCTGAGCTGAGAAACTCCGTCTCAGTGCAGCAGGATAATATGTCACAAAAGTCTGTCACGCTCGAGTCCAATGTTTCTACTGGTGAACCAGTTGTGGGTTTTAATATTCGTGCTAGGGGTAGGGGTACGGGGGAGAGGGGGGAAGAGGTGGCAGGGTGATTGCTGGTAGAAGAATGTTACACTCCAATGATACCTCTGCACATAGTTCCAAGTCTTCTGAGCGATGCCACAAAAATAAGGTCGAAGGTGCCCGTAGAGTGTGGGTACTTTTAGTGTGTGTACTGCTAGTGATATACAAAACACTATAAAAAAGCTGTGTGGCATTGATTCTGTACGAGTCAAGAGGAAAACAAAATAATTGGCAAATGGAAAGATGTGCTGGTGGTTTGTGCTTCACGACGAAGAGGTCAAGCTTCAAGCTATTGATGCAAAATGGGAGCAGGTTGAGTTCCAAACAACGTGGAAATTAGAGCCTTGTTTCCGCAGAGCATCTACCCCTGTGTCCCAACCATTGTCTCGTCCAGAACATGGTGACAGCACCCTCGAACCAGTCACTACACTTGTGCCTACACATTCTCAATCACCATTGCTTACTACAGAGGCTACTCCAGATGTGGCTGGAGATGCTGGCCACGAAACATCTTTTTGACGAATAGTCCTCTGCATACATCTCTGCAAACAGAAGTTTCACAGGATGTTCTTGTCCCTGATAACCACAGTGATATATACACCTTTTTTGGCCAACGGTCTCCAACAGCAGCTGGAAACACAAAGTGTTTAACTTCTTCCTACAATGCACTACACATTGTTATTTCAACGCACGAAGCCTCCTGCCTAAACTTGATGAACTCAAATGCATAGCTGCTGCAGAATCACTTGTATTGTAGAAACATGGTTGTCTGGTCATGTCTAGTCTGTAATGAAAAGCACTAAAGTGAACCCTCGTCGAACTGCGCATGCGCGAAACTGCAAAATTGATGGGCTGGGCCGGCCGGCTATTTGTGTATGCGTTTACTCCGCTAGTAGCCCGCGGAGAGTCAGACACGGGCTAGCTACAGTAGTAGATAGCATGCGGGAGTCGATACATGCCATTCGTTGTGACTTCCTGAGCCCCCAAGGTACACAGAGCGAGCGGATCAGATCAGGGTCGCGGTAAGCCAGTGCGATTTGGCTTTTTCGCTTGTTTTCACGGCATATCTCTCGAACGAAGTCGTTTCAGGAAAATCGCCTAATAATTTTCAGGCTCCCCTAGTTCTGAATCCGCTGGTATCGCTAATGGGCCGCCTCGTAGCCTGTAGTGCCAGAATAAGCGTCGTCGTGTGGAAATACAGTCAGGGGCCTCTACTAGTCAAGAAAAAGCTGATGTTCTTTCAAGAAATGTTTTAACAATTCCATTCCTTCACTAAG